GGGACCACTGTATCAGGTAGGAGAGTTAAAAAAAAAATGAGGTGGGAAGGTATAGCTTGGTGGTAGAGTGTGTTCCTAGCATGCATTAGTTCCTGGGTTCAATCCCCAGTCCATTAAAAATAAATAAATAAAAACCTAATTACTTCCCCCAAAAAACTTTTAAAAATATATAAATAAATAAATAGATTTTTAAACAGTGAATTATTATATTAAAAAATGTTGTCATAGAGGAAAGAAGAAGAAAGTATAGTCATTATATGAGTATCCTCCCTTAACAAGAATTACCTAGCCATACCAGCATCCTTTGCCACTCCCTTGTCCCCAGCTCCCCCAGAATAACAGGAGAATATCTGGAGGACACATTCTTTTAGCTCCACATTGAGTGTAACCATACACTCATGAAGGCATGTGACTAGCCCTTCAGGGCTATATCTCCCCATTCCCTCCCCCCTGTCATTTTAGACAACCAGTGTTTTAATTGCCCATTACAATTCTCCATCAAATTATTACCAAGGAGGACATCTCTCTGCCCATTGTTGGACACAAGGGAAGGAGAAAGTTTTCCTTGGCTCTCTGGCAATTTGTGCCTCAGAGAATGCAAGACAAATATATCTAGATTCAGTCCATCTCTGCATTGCTGTAGTACCTCCATATCCACTCGTTCCATGGACCCAGGTGGCCACCTCAAGTGAGTACATAGGGATATCTGTTTATCGATTCCAGTTATCTTCTGAACATGGAGAGTTCTTCTGATGGGCACAGATACGTCCATCTTTACTGCACCCCTCAGATTCCCATAGTGATTTCCATAGGGCCATGCCCCTTTAATGGCCAGGCTTCCATTGCCCTTGTATCCAACCATACGGCCAGGCCAGTTGGCCATTGCTTGAAAGGTGGATTTACATGCTTTCTCTTTTATGATGTTAGGTAGGGGAGATATTCTCCAGCCCATTAGGACTTCATCCACAGATTTTGGTTTTATAATACTAGGTAGAAGTGTTCCCCAACCAGCATAATACTCATTTCCATAAAACATTAAGGTAAAGGGGACATGACATTTTACATAAAGCTTGTTAAACATTCCAACTTCCATAATCCTATCAACCCTTACATTTTAATTTTTTCTCCATGTAATGGTAGCTCATACGAGGGCTTCACCAGTGGGTTTTGGTAACTTCACCTCCTGATTAATTTACCCACTCTTCTGCAAAAGGCTCTGAGTCCCCATTAAGTAAGTGGTCAAGCCAAGGAACTCTGGCCTTTGTCAGTCTGTGTTTTGATTAGATAAAGCAATTGCTGGTCAGGTTTGGAGCCATCCCTAAATTCCATTGGTAACTTTTACCTTTAGTAACTGATTGCAGCACAGCTGCTATACCATATCATGGAGTAGCCACCCAGGAGTCGAAGATTCCTTATCTCTCACCTTTTCATCCTTTCTCTTCCCAAACCACATGTTTCCATGAGCCAGTGCCAGTCTAACAAATCCCACTTCTGACACCAATTCTGATAATGTGTTTTTTTCCATGTCCCACTAAACAGTTGTCCATTTCCCAGTGAACACTGACTGGGTGTCCTACAAATTTAATTCAATTCTAACACTATTTACTTAAGGATAGTGACAAATTCCACAGGTTAAGGGCTCAGTCCCATCAGACTGCCCTCACTTCAGCCTCCAATTGCAAGTCCAGGCATAAATATAGACAAAGATAGTTCAAAGGACCAGAAACAGACCTATACAGACCTGTATGGTTAGTTTTTGACAGAAGTTCAAAGCAATTCAATAGACAAATGGTAGTCTTTTCAATAAATGGTACTGCAACAACTAAATCTGTATCTGAAAAAAAAAACTTTGATTGATACCTTGTACTATATATAAAAATTGACTCTTAATTGACTGTAGGCCTAAATATGAAACCAGAACCTATTAAATTCTAGAAAAAAAAATGGGAGAAAATCTCTGTGGCCTTGCATTAGGCAGATTTCTTAAACATGCACAAAAGAATGATCTACAAAAGAAAAAGCTGCTAAATCAAACTTAAGGACTTCTGCTCTTTGAAAGACATTGTCAAGAGAATGAAAAGCCAATACATATACCAGGTCACAATGTTTGCAAATCACATGTATGATAAAGCGCTTATATCCAAATTATGTAAAGAACTCTCAAAACTTAATAATAAGAAAACAATAGAAGTAAAGAAAATGGGCAAAAGAGTTGAACAGACGCTTCACCGAAGAAGTTTTACAGATGGCACATAAGCACATGAAAAGATGTTCAACATCGTTAGGATAGATATATAGATCAATGCATAGAATTGAGAGTCCAAAAATAAACCCATTTATCTATGGTTAATTGATTTTTGACAAGGTGCTAAGATAATTCGGTTGGGAAAGAACAGGTCTTTCAACAAATGGTGCTGGGAAAACTGAGTAGGTACATGTAAGGAACGTGAATCCTTACTTCATACCATATGTAAAAATTAACTCAAAGTGGGTGATAGGCCTAAGGGCTACATTTACATATACATAAGCATATGAAATGTTTAGAAGAAAAGGGGTATAAATCTTCATAACCTTGGATTAAGCAATAGTTTCTTACATAGGACACTAGAAGTAAAAGTGACAAAAGAAAAACTAGCTTAATTGGATTTAATAAATTTTAAAACTTTTGTGCTTTAAAGGATACCATCAAGAAAGTTGAAAAGACAACTCAGAGTGGTTGAAAATATTTGCAAATTATGTATCAGTTGAGGGATTTGTTTTCAGAATAAAGAGCTCTTACTGAGTCTGAATAGACAATTCATCAAAGAAAATATACAGCCAAATAAGCACATTAAAAGAAGCTCAACATCATTAACCACTAGAAAAATATAAATTAAAACCACAATGAGGTACCACTTTACACCTATTAGGAAGGCCGCCTATAATCAAAAAGATGGACAATGACAAGTGTTGGTGAGGACATGAAATAATTTTCTTATTCATTGCTGATGGAATTGAAAAATTATATAACCATTTTAGAAAACAGTTTGGTGATTTCTTATAAAGTTAAGCATGCATTTAGCATTTGCCCAGCATTTTAGCCATTGCCTCAAGATCAGTGAAATGAAAAGTTCACAAAAAACTTGTACAACACGAGGAATATAGCCAGTATTTTGTAATAACTATAAATAGTATAATCTTTAAAAATTGTGAATCACTGTATTTTACACTTGTAACATTATGTCAGCTGTACTTCAGTCTTTAAAATGTCAATGCAATGGAATACTTCTCAGCTTAAAACAAAAATCAAACTACTGCAAGATAAACAACAAGTTTATACTGTATAGCACAGGGAACCATATTCAGTATCTTGTAGTAACTTATGGTGAAAAAGAATATGAAAATGAATGTGTATGTTCCTATATGACTGAAGTGCTGCACATCAGAAATGGATATAACATTGTAAACTGACTATACTTCAATAAAAATATATCTTTAAAAAACTACAAATGTAACAATATGGATATATCTCAAAAATATGCTGAACAAAAGTAGACACAAAATTATACATACTGTCCATTTATATGAATTTCTAGACAAAAGTAGTCTTTATCACAGAAATTAGAACAGTAATTGCCTGGGATGAGGGCTGCAGGGAAGACTGACTGCAAAGGTGTACAAAGAAACTTTAGTTGGTGAAAATATTCTATATCCTGATTGTGTTGGTGGTTACACAAGTGTATACATTTGGCAAAACTCATAAAACTGTAGATTAAAGTGAGTATATTTTATTGTGCGTAAATTATTCTTAAATAAATATGACCAAAATGAAAACAACTTTAAAAGTCACGTGTACAAAAAAACAAAAGGCAAAGAAAATATTTTAAAATAATGAAGATCCCCATGCGTCTGGGTAGTGGAGCTGCCGCCCACGGTCTCCTCTGCAAAAGGGCTCCTTGGCCTAGCACCTGCATCCCCGCCACCCATAATCATCTGCTGAGGCCGGCGAGGGGTCACCGCCGAGGTTTCCACTAGCCCACAAGCAAGAGCCTGGCAGCCATCACGTCCAGCGGCTCTCTCATGGCCACCCATGACTACTACCCGCTCCACCTGGGTTCCACTTTCCAGTAACAGCCCCTGTGGAAGTGTAGAGTACCCTGGGGAAGCCATCCCCCACCGTTGGGTCTCCCAAAGGCCGACTCCGGACACTGGTGGGCTAGCTTTTTTGGGAATTCCACTCTCCCATTCATGGCCACAGTGTTGGAGTCCCCAGAGCACCCGGAATCGCCTAAGACCTCCACTGTCGCAATCACCTGTGAACTGGCTCAGGAAGCCATGGGGAAGCAGCAGCCTGGCAGCCAGCCTGCCAAAACCAACTCCAGGTCCCGGTCCTGAGTAGCTGCCACCAGCTGCCAGGCTTCCTTCCAGATCGCTAGGCTCATAAGAACTCCCCCCTCCGCCTCCCCTTCCCTTCCCTCCCCGAGACTAAGCAGGCTACAGCCAGTGGAAGCAGTTGGGTTCTTTAATATCAAAATAGCAAAACACCATAAAGAAAGTTGAGAGAACCCCACTCTACCACCCAAGCCACATGACAGCCTTCCTGACACCTCATAACCCTGTGCCTTGCACCAAATAGAAAATAAATTCAAAGCAGCTATCAAAAAAAAAAAAAATGAAAATCGCCCATACAACATGAGTAACCTTAAATTGTTTTTAAAACATCTGAAATGTAACTACCTATTTTACCTGGGATGATTTGGGGTCAAAGAAATTTTCTTTTCTAGATTTTCTGTGTCTTATGGTTATGATTATATATATACATTGTATATTATAGACATATATATATGGTATGTATACTTTCTCTGTATGGGGCCTTGTACTGTAGCTATAACATCACAGATATTTATCAAGGTCTAGCTTATGTTACTGGGCTATAACAACAAATTTCAGTGAAAAAATAACTTTTTGTGGAATAATTTTTAAGTATTTTAAGAAAAGCTCTTTGTCCTATTTTTTTCCAGCCTCAAGGTATTGCAACATGCTTATAGAGGAAGGAGGATTGCAGCATTTGTACAACATCAAAGAACATGAACAGACTGATCCCCATGTCCAGCAGATTGCTGTGGCCATTCTGGACAGCTTAGAAAAACACATTGTACGCCATGGGAGACCACCTCCCTGCAAAAAGCAGCCCCAGGCCAGACTAAATTGATAGCCATAGGTAATTGCATAAATGAATCACAGAAATCCTCTTTGTGATAGGTTCACTTTGGAATAGCTTACCCTCTGTGATGTTTTAGGGGTCTCTATGATAAGAGTCATAAGATCAGTTTGAGATTGATGATGTACAGTACTGCCCATGTGAACAGTCTCTAATTTGTCTTGTGATTTTTAACTTACAAGGCAAGAAGGATCTCTTCCTTCATCATTGCCTTTTAGGAAAATTTCCACAACTTTCAGTGTTTGAACTTACCTGTGCTTAAAATTCTACAGTTTTATGATGAAGTTTGCACGAACCCTTAGGCCAGACTTTTCTGATCTTAAAGTCCCTTCTGATCAATCTGCAGCTTCAGATAAGCTGTTAACCTGATTTCTGGCACTGCTTCAGTTGTAAATTTTATACTGCTTCTGTATAAAACGCCTTTATTCTTTGTCTGTGTATCTTTTATAAGATGTCCTTCTTAGTGTGAAAGAATGGAAATCTGAGTCCTCCTTGTGAAAGCTACTCACTGACTAGTGCCCAGATGGCTGGCAGAAAATATATTAAAAAGGAAAAATATTAAGGGAGAATAGTGTTTAGGAACTGGGAAAAGGTCTGCTCTTGTGGTATAGTTTTTAAACTGGGACAGGCTAACCTCCTAGACCCCACCTCTCTTGAGGCATTGAACAGTTGCTTTTTCTTCATATTTATTCATGGAAGTATGGGCTGATGCTTCCTACACAGACTGCTGGTTACTCTTTAGAAATATTTCCCCAAGCACCAAGTGTAAAATATTACAGCTTTCTGTGTTAGAGATTTAACTCTTTGAATCTCTATATGTCATACTGTGAAAATGTGAATTTTACAAAAATCATCTCTTGACCATTCTTTTCCCTCTGTTACATCAAAGTCATTTTGTTCAGTGGAATAGAGACTACACATGGTGTTATCTGCTCACTTAAAATACAAGTAACAAAAGTAAATTTTGCCACAAGAAGTTAATTTTCTTTTATTTCAAAATACATATGACTTAATGTTTTCTTGTTGGGGAAAGATTTCCACCTTTCACTGCCAAAAATGAACAAAAAGAATTAGACTATTGTTAAATGTAATGATGCTAGTTGTAGTACATAAAAGGAAATATTTTTTGATGGGTAATTTTTTAGACAGTTGCCTTTCCTTTAAGATTGCTGTTACAGTGTAGTAAAGAATTAGTTATCATTATATCAGTAATGCCAGTTAGGAGGCAGCAAGTCACCAAGAAACTTACTATCCATTTTAAATTTTAGTTTGTGAATAAAGTTAATCTGCAGTCTTAAATGACTGTTTTTTTGGTGGATGGCCGAAATGTGTTCAGTAGAGATTTTAAATGTTATGTTTAAATTGTGGTTATTACTTAGAAACATTTTTATTTAGAAAAGAGCTGGCTTATTAAAGTATGCTGATAACATTTTCAACATTCATATTTCATACCACTATCACAATTGTACTCCAACTATTTGGTACTCCTTTGCAGGAATGAAAACTTAAAACTAAAACAAAACAGGTATTTTGAACCATTAAAAACCATATTAAATTGTGGGTTAATTCTGGCTTGATTTAAGGAATTTTTATAGATGTAAGATGAATTTTCAGAGATGTCTATTTCAGAGGAAATGGAAAATTCTTTTAAAATTTTCTGCTTTTTTTCTGGGTTTTTAAAAGTCTAAGGCAAAATGTAGAAAATAGGATGGCCTACAGTAAATAACTTGGAAGTTGCTAGGTATATTGACCATTTCCATGTCTCCTAGCTTGTATAGTTAAGGGAAAGCCTATTTGAGAATTTGGCTTCAAGTTTCTGTTGTATCCTATTCAAGACACGTTCCTTTTAGGCTAATCCTAGATTTTTGTCTTTATAAATTGTTTTCAGAAATGGCTAAAAATGTACAGAAAACAAATCCTTCCTTACTCAGAATAACTTGCTGATAGATGAAGACTCAAATATAATTAAATTTAAATTTACTGCTTTGAGCACTGGTTATGGCTAGATACTTCTGAGTCTTAAAGGCAAAATAACTGGTCACTTCCCAAATATGTTAAAAAAATGTAGTGCCTTTGTGGTTGAGATGGCTCTTAAAATTGTATATCTAATTATGGCACAGAATTGTCTATAAGGTCTTGCATCTGGCATATATATATATATATATAAATTATGAGGCATAACTGGCCTGTCTCTATAGGTAGAATCTCATAAGCCTCCCATTTGCATTTGTACAATAGAATGTAACAGTACTTGATGCCTCCAAGGGCTACCTCTTCAGTGGCTTAGAGGTGTTGCTTCAAGCACAGTTTAGGGTTGAACCACTCATTGCTCAAATCATTATTGCACAAAGATATTGTAAATTATCACTACATTAGTCCACAAGCAACAGCAAGGTTTAGATCTACTAAAGGAAATGGAATTAGACTTTTTAGACTAATGATACATGTTGGTATCATTGAATAAAACAAGAACAGTCTGAAATTAAAGCGAAAGTAATTAAGGCATCTCATTCTTTCCACCAAGTAAATTTTGCTGTGGTCTTTATACTCTAAAAAATCATTTTAATTTTTGCATTTGAAAAGAAACATTAATCAAGTAGTAATAAGGAGTTCGTTTACTCTCTGGCCAATGACTCAGTGGCTATTGATCTTAGTTGAGAATTTTTAAAATCATATTAGACCTACAGATCCAGGAATTGATCTTAAACATTGCTTCACCTTACCCCTGCACAGAAATGTGGTTTAGTGGCACTAGTCAACTTAAGTGAATTACCTAAGGTGGAGGTGAATCCTATAATTCTACTATGGGAATTTAATTTCATGATATCTTTTGTCTGCAAACTTCCAAAGAATCAAAGTTTCATGTTTTATTTTTATTTTTTTAACTTTGAAAACTTAAATCATTCTTTAATTTGTAAGTAATCCTTACAAAACCTAATAGAAAAATACATATCTTCAAAAATAGAAATACTGAGATTGGAAAATACAATCAGATGAGTTTTTCCCTGGTAGTTTCTTTTTGTTTTTTTCAATTTCATAATTTAGTAAATAAAAATACAGGAAATCCAGTTACATTTGAATTTCAGGTAAGCAACAAATAATTTTAACTATAAATAATGCTCCATGCAATATTTGGGAGTTACTTATACTAGCAGATTATTTGCTAATTTACAGAGATTCGTGTTCAAAACATCAGTCCTGTACATCCAGTCTAGGAAGTTGCTCTTGCTAATGGGCCCTTTTGGATTGGCCTTTTTTCTTGTCATTTTCATTTGGCTGTATTTTTAATTAAGCCATGCTCAAGATAGCATTGGGCCATCTTCTAGGCCTTTAGAGCAGATTTTAAGGAAAACATATTATGTTTCATTATGTACTAAATTAGGGTAGAATCAGATAATGAACCATGGATTTGGCTTAGGGCTTTAGAATGCCTGACACTCTCCTTTTCTCCTAGAAAAATGTGCAGCAGTACCAAAGGTTGAAAAGAGGTCATGAGTAGCCAGTAAGATAAGCTCAGTTTTGTATATGTTGAAATCCACCCCCTCTCCTGCCCTCTAATGGTATGTTTACATTATTTGGTTATTGTGCAACTTTTATCTTGGGATAAACAGTATTATTAAACTGAAGGTGTAAGTTGAAGGCAGTATTTTACTGTCAGCCGATGTGGGCAGTTTTATCTGTGTGTTACTTATTTGGGGACTCTTTATGGCTAGGGCTTCAGAGTAGTGTTCTACTACTCTGAGACACTTAAAGGGAGGTTTGCAGACTTTGGTTTCCCTCTCAAATCCATTGTAGCTGTTTTAAATGATTGTGTGGATATTAGATGTTTAATCTTTACCATTTGCTTTGTATAGACACATTTTTCATTTTTTGTGTTAACTCATAAACTGTTTATTTAAGTAATAATGCAAATCCAGCCTTCATTCAGTGTTCAGAATAGCAGTATGATAGGAAATTTTGTTGAGTGTGCTTTAAATGAGTAATAGCTTTATATTTTTTAGTATTTCATAGATTTTGCATGACATGTACACTCCTATTATGCATTCTTTGGTTTCCAGATCTTAACCTAAGACACTCTATGTTAACTGATGGGTAGCCTAAGAAAGAGCTTTCTCTGCCTGTTTCTCTCCTCCAATTTTTTTTTCTGGTAAATTATGGAAAAATCAGTGCTATTTCTCATTTCTCTGAACAAAGCAAAGCTCTTTACGACAGCACAACCTAATTTTATAGCTAGACAGAATGGCTATTAAGAGTATTTAGAAAATCTAAATTTATCAGAATTATCTTACGGGAAATTATAAATCTAGTTCATTAATATGTGCTTAAATTTGAACTTATTTTTTGGAAAATTGTTCAAATTTGTGTTCTTTTAAGCTTATTTTAATCAGCTTAGAAGCAAGAAGCTACTTAGCTAATGAAAGCTGGGACATACTTTCATAAAAGCAGGAAATTCTTGAGAGCATTTTTCCCTTTACAAATGGGAGGATATTATGTCAAGATTTATACTCTCGGATAATCTGCAAGAATAAAATTTTAAAATCCTTGCCTTTTGTAGAATTCCCACTGTCAAATTCTCACTGACTCGTAAGTATGAAAAAAAAGCTATCTTTTGCTTGAATTCTGATGAAAGAGTTTAACTCCTTTCAAAGGATGTGAAAAATTCATTGGAAAGTGTAATATGTATACATTTCAAAGGCTCTCTATCTGGACTGAAGGCACTGTACTCACTGTGGCCAGGTGAATGGGAGTGTCCTGTACATGAATCATGCTGTATTTTAAATCAGGACATCACTTAGATATTAATGTTGTGTGTACAGATTTTTGTTTGGGGATTTTTTTTTTTTTGCCTAAATAAATGTTACAAATTTTGTGTGTCTTGTCTACTTTGATTCTAGGTATTTGCTGTAAAATTTAAAACTAATGCAAGATTCATATTCCTTAGTCATCCACTTTTAACAGTTGCTTTCTGAAGAAGGCCAGTGGTTTTATTGCAAAAATTTCTGGGAGTTTTGGCAGTAACTGGAACTCCATTCATCCATTTCATAAATACCTGTGCTGGGTACTGTTCACATGTTGGAACTTACATAATTCATAAATCCTTCAGGGAACTTGTAGTTTTGTGGAGAAGAAGAAATATTAAATAGATAAATATTATATAACATTGTATTACAGACCAGTCCACAGTGTGTGTTACAGAGGCACGTAACCCGGACTGGGCAGCCATCAAACAGCCCAAGAACACTTCCTAGAGAACATAACATCTGAGTGAACATTCAGTCACACAACTATTGAGATAGTTAACTGATAAAATGTATATTGTTTGAGTGTTTTTAGTGAGGGAGATTACCAAAAAAATAAAGTGTAATATGAGAACTCCATGGCCAGGAAGAATCCTTACTGACTTTAGTTTCAGAAACCTCATTGTATAGTTAAAGAAACTAAGTCTTAGATAAAATGGCCTTGCCCAAATCATATAGCAAGTCAGTGGCAGACTCTGCGCTACAGTTTGTATTTCCAAATTTAACAGTCCTTTGGGTCCCCTCTCCCCCTATTATTCCATAATAGCATGAGATTGCTTAGCTCTCAGGCAATGTGTGATTAAGCATCAAATGAATGGTACAGAAAAGAATGTGCACTAAATGGTCAGAGAAGTGGAGGTTGACTGTCCCTGAGGATGGTATGGGGCAGCATTAGTGTTTAGATGCTATAGAATTGTTAATGAATGGTCACTACAAATACTTCACTAATACACTAACATGAGATTAGATGCATTAGGGTGATATTAAAAGTAGCTTTATTATAATTTTTATAATAATTATTAGCTTTTCTTAACCTTTTATTGTATCTCAAAGAATTCACTCAATACCAACATGGTGTACTATGGGCCATACATATTAAGGAAGATAAATACCTTTGAGCAATATTTAACCAAAAAGTTGTTGAGCTGTGTTGTCTATAGCCAAAATTCAAAAAGAAAAAATTAAGCCTTTCTTCATTCTTCCTCCTCCCCCACTCTTTCTCAGTTTTTATTATGTAGATTGACCAAGGCTTTCTTGGCTAAATTTAAATGTCTTCCTTTCCTTCTGATTATCTTTCCATCTGTGATTGCCCGTTCTTAATCTGCATCATAAGAGTCCAATGAACTCGTCTGAGTAACTGCATAACTCCACAAACTGAGAAGAGGGGGTGGATGGCAGAAACCATGAGCGCTCACATTAATCATTTTTGTCTTTAATAACGTAAGATTCTAATGCAGTCTGAAAATTCAGCCTGTGAAAGAGAAAGTCATCAGGTGGGAGTATCCACACCAAGCTCTTGGCTTCCAGAAGCCAGCCTTTGGATCAGGTTTGGGGAAATGGCACCAGGGGCCAAATGTTGCACATGAATAGTTTACTCCCCTGCATTCAGTAAGCTGCGTAAAAACATCATGCAATGACTAAGTCAAGGACTGTCACTTAAGAGTGTCTCTCCCAGACTGTGATGTAAGTATAAGAGCTAAGAACAACAAGAATCCTCAGCTCTCCTGTCAGTTTACATCAATACACATTATAAAAGGAACCATTTTCAAAGACATATCTAGAATGTGATTGTCAT